CATATATATATATATATATATATATATATATATAGGCTAATAAAGACGGAGGGGACAAAAACGACAAGAAGGAGTAGAGAAGCAGGGTGTGTGTGTGTGTGTGTGTGTGTGAAGAAAAATCCCATTAAACTGAAGAGAAAGAAGACATGGAGCGGGCGTCATCCACGGGAATCGTGAATAAGACGATGACATCGCCCACTTCCACAGGAACAGCAGTGGTGGCATCAGCAGCGCCTGGGACGATGGGGGAGCCGAACAGTTTCAACGTGGATGAGCTGATTCAGTACGTTTTGCAGGGTAAGCCAATGAGGGAGCCGCAGGTGGCGCAGTTATGCCAGAAAGCCAAGGAGGTGCTGGAGAAGGAGGGTAATGTTCACACCGTGCGTGCGCCCGTCACCGTGTGCGGCGACATCCATGGCCAGTTTCATGACCTGCTGGAGCTGCTGAAGATTGGGGGTCTCCCACCGGACACGAATTACCTGTTCATGGGGGATTATGTCGACCGCGGCTACTACAGTGTGGAGACCGTCACCCTGTTGTTGCTTTTTAAGATACGATACCCGGAGCGGGTGCAGATTCTGCGCGGCAACCACGAGTCTCGTCAGATCACGCAGGTATACGGGTTTTATGATGAATGTGTGCGCAAGTATGGCAGCGCTAATGTGTGGAAACTGCTGACCGATCTCTTTGACTACCTGCCACTGGCGGCGGTGGTGGAAAACGAGATCTTCTGCCTCCACGGCGGCCTCTCGCCTACGCTGGATAGTCTGGCGCACATTCGTAGCTTAGAGCGCGTGCAGGAGGTGCCACACGAGGGTCCCATGTGTGACTTGCTGTGGTCGGACCCGGAGGACCGTGACGGCTGGGGCATCAGCCCACGTGGCGCCGGCTTTACCTTTGGCGCCGACATTTCCGAGCAGTTTTGCCACAACAACGGACTAAAGATGATTGCGCGGGCGCATCAGTTGGTGACAGACGGCTACAGCTGGGCTCATAATGAGCGCCTCGTGACGATATTTAGCGCGCCGAATTATTGCTACCGTTGCGGCAACCTTGCAGGGCTGCTGGAACTCGACGAGCACATGAATAAGTGCTTTTTTCAGTTTGATCCTGCTCCGCGACGAGGCGAGGCACAGGTGTCGAAGAAGACCCCCGACTACTTTCTCTAAAGGGCGGTGGCACCGCTGCGGGTGTGGCGCCCATTGCTTACTAATGAGGGGCAGGGTGGATGGTAGGGGGGCGATAGAGGGTCATAGAGTAGAGAGCGAGAGAGAGGTAGAGAGGGAGATGTGAGAAAGCCAAACGACAGTGGAGCTACAGCGCATAAGTGAGAGAAAAAATAAAGACAAACTGAAATCCATGCAGAGAGGTGTCGTTCTGCGTGTATAGGTTTCTCCGTGTATGTGTGTGTGGGGAAGGAGGGAGGACGATGGTGTGGACGGGGGGGCCGCTTCCCCTCCAGATGCACAGCTCTTCTTTTACAGCAATCTGGAGAGGGATATATTATGTGTGTGTATATCATCGTCTTTATCTCTCTGGCTTTTTTTTTTGTACATGCATGCAATTCTCCCTGCCGCCTTTCTTTTCCACTCTTTTCTGTTGCCTCGTTAGGGCCGTCATTGCCACCGTTAATATCACCACTGCTTTTGTTGTTGTTGTCGTCGTCGTCGCTTGCCGCTTCTGCCTGATGCTCATTCCTGTACGTTGCTACTCCTGCGGGAAGGTCATTGGCAACCTCTACGAGACCTACCAGCAGCTGCTCAGCGAGGACTACACCGAGGCAGAGGCGCTTAACGCCCTGCAGCTGGACCGCATGTGCTGCCGCCGCATGATACTGTCGCACATTGACCTAGTGGACGATCTGCTGCCGTATAGCGTGCCGGTAGTGGGAACCATGCCATTAGTTAACCCACTGCAGACCCCCACACCGCACCGCAGGTGAGTTGGAGCATGACACGAGAGGCGAGGTCATTGGCGGTGGGGCCGCGTGGGACATCTGAGGTGAAGGAATCATAACGCAACGGTACAGTTCTCCTCTTCACTTTCTCCCTCTTTTTCTCTCCATTTAATCGAACAACAACGAGGAAGCATTGAATGTAACCACGCCCATACGCATTTATGTGTGTGTGTCTGTGTGGGAGAGGGGTCACACACACATAACTGCTGCCACTGCGGGTTATCATATTTTTTTTATTTTATTTTGTATTTTATGACTTATGTTTCATGACACTTTTTTTTTTCTTCTTTTCTTTTGGTGGCGTTCTGCGCTGTGGGTGCACGACGACGTATCGGGCGGCTCTCCTCGACAGAGCGAGCGCCATGCCTTTGGAGGGGACGCAGTGGCGAAGGCGGCAGGAGAGACAAAGGCGGAGTGCTCTCAAGCGGTGACGCAGCCATCGTGCTCCGCGTCGGCTGGGCGAGATAGCCAGGATCCCGCCTTGTCGAGCAATCATGAGGGCCGGGGCCAGGCACCTGTCGTCCAGGAGGCTCCCTCGTTGTCGCCCACGGCGTCACAGGCGACTACGACGGCATCAGAGCTGGCGAGTCTTGTCCGAGCACGCAACGAGCGCTGGGCGGAGCTGCGGGCTGCTGGGCGGCGGGCGTGGGAGGAGGTGAAGCAGCATACGCAGGCTGCCTGTGACGCCGTGGTGAGTGGCGCCAACGCCGAGGTGCTCGCCGCGTTCGCACGTGAGAAAAAGATTGAGACGGAATTAAAGGCAGTTGCTGCGTGTTCTGCTCAGCTGCAGATGCAGATGTCAGCGTGGACCACACTGTTTGGGAAGCTCAATACCGAGCTGAAGGAAATGGGCGATGTATCGAATTGGGTCCGGAGCATCGAAGAGGACCTTGCGGAAACCGTGCACGTGCTGGAGGAGCTGTCGGAGCAAAAATGACGGGCACAGCGCGTGCAACGGCCTCTCGGGAGTTGAGACAGAAGAGAGTGGTCTTACAAGTCAGTCATGCCGCTCTAATGGACTGCGAGGCAGCTTTTACATATGTGCCCCGACTGCTCTTTTTGCTTTACGTGAGTGTGGCACATCGATCTTGTTGCGTGCGTTTGCGTGGATGCCGTTAGTGACCGTCGCTTAGTGTACCTTGCCTTCCTCTGTGCGCATGTGTGCGTGTGTGTGGGGAGGAGGAAGGGGAGTTCCCTGCTATGCCTTCCAGCGAGGTATTCCGAATACGCTGATTTGCTACTGTTTGTTGTTATTATTCTTTTTTCACTGCGCGTCTGCGTTTTGATGGCCGTTATCTTTTGTCGCCACGTTTCGTCGCGTGCAGGAAGTGTAGCTGGCGGGAAACGGATGCCCTCACCCACGACGAAGAAAAGTTTTGCAGAGCGGGAGGAGGCCGCGGAGGCGAAGGCGGAACCCGCACCGACGATCACCTCCGCGGTGCCCTACACGGCTGAGGAAGAGGCCTGCCTGCGGGAGCACCTGACAGCCTCGCTGCTGGAGCAGCAGGAGCGACAGAGCCGTGACGGGGACGCCGCGTGGACGAAGACGACCCTGCCCCTGCTGGTGTCCATGGTGGCGAAGGTGCTGCAGCTCGCCGCGGACAACTACAACGAAGAGAGCGGTACCGCTGGTGGTGCCCCCGCCACCCCCGCTACAGATACTACGACCACCAAGAACCAGTTACCGAGGGGCAGTGGACCCACCTCGCTACCCGCGAAACCCCCAAGCAAAATGGAGTGCTTCCTTGAGGAAAATACCTACTTGCTAGAACAGCTGCGGCTCCAGCAGTGGGCCTTCTTCACTTTGCCAAGGCTGTGGGAAATCCTCGCTGACCCGTTTATGTACAACAGCGACGCCACAGGAAAGCTGCGCAGCGCGAAGCTGCAGGCAGCTGTGCGACGTTGTGTGCTGTCCTCGGCCCCACTGTTCACGGCGCCGTCATCACTCATATCTATGAATGAAGTGAGCACAGGCTAGCCAGCACCTTCCTTGCCCGAGCCTTCTCGCTGCAGCCGAACGAAGACCATATGCCTGTGGGAGGCCGTATAACCCCCCCCCCCCCTCCCCCTTTCTCTTTTTGTGTCTGTGTTGTTACTTCCTTTGTGACCATAGTTGTTTCTCATTTTTGCCACAGCGGACGCTGACTTCTCTCCTGCCCTTCTGCTTTTTTTTTGTTTTTCTTGGCCGTGACATGCTGGAGTTTCTGGCAAAAGAATAAAAAGTAGTGGTGGTGGCGGTGGTGTTTGTCTTTTTCTCTCTGTCTGTGACATCCCACTTTTGCGCGAAAACGAAGTAAGAAGGCGAGGAAACGGCACACATTAGGAGCCGGTGAGATGGTGGAGCCGCATCTTTTCAGTGGGCCGGAGTTTTTGCTGGAGGTGCCGGCGGAGCACCCACAACCGCTTCAGCCAAGTGTATTACTGCAGCTGCAGACTGAGCTGTATGGTCTTCTCACACCGACTGTGCGCCGCAAGCTCCAGGCAACGTACGGCGGCAACAGCAGCAGCAGCGGCGGCGGCGCGGTCCCACCGCCTCCCGATCGTTTGTTTTTTATTGAGACCGCGGCGACGCCCCAGGCAGATGCAGCCTGCGAAGAAAAATGTGTCCAGGTGGTTCTCCTTGTCACAGACTCTCGTGCGGCGGCGGAGCTTTTCAGCATTGGGTTGAAGAATCCCTTTATTGCTCTGCCGCACCGCATGCGGCTGCGCAACCAGTATGCAGGTAGTGGTGTAAAAACACGCGGTACACCTGCAGAGATCTTGCGAAAGAAGGAGGCTCTGCGATCCCGCATGAATTTCGACGAGGACTTGTGGGAAACATTGCAGAAGGCTCTCACACCGGAGTGGTTGCAGGAGTTTGAGTCACGTTACTGTCAACTTCCTGCAGGGGATGTGGTGGCGGAGGTGGCTCCGATGCGAGACACAGAACGTCATGAGCGGCGCGTAGAGGGTCTGTTGCGGTACTGTGAGCGGGAGGTGCAGTATGTGGGGGTGATGGATGAGGAGGGCAACGCGAGTCCTTTTCTGGTGGCGATGGGGGTTTTCTACCGCTACGGACTCACCTACCGGGACGCACTGATACACTTTGCGCGTCACCCGCGACGCCCAACTCGGGCCTTGGCTCTCTTTATCGCACGCTACACCGCTGCCCCGGAGGAGCTAGAACCCTTCTTCGCACCCTCCCTCACAGACGAGGTGACGATTGCCTGCGCCGAGGACGCGAATGTGACGACGACCATGCGGCAGCTCTGCGAAGACCTCCTATTGTGCGACGAGGTGTGTGAGGCGTGGCCACCGACCTACCAAGCGTACTGGGTGGAGCACAAGGTGCGCCCCATGATGCACCGTATTGAGGCAGAGTGCAAACGATGCGAAGAATTGCGGCAGGCACGCGCGGGGGACGGCAGCCGCGCGACTGCGGTGATCACGCACACGCCCCCCGGCAAAGCACCAGGAGGGAAGACTGATGCGAAGGTGCGGGGATCGGGCAAAGGCGTCGGCATGTTTGGTTTCCGGAACCTGACGGAGTTGCAGGCATACGTGCAGGAGAGGGAGCGGGTATTGGTGCCGCAGCGCATTTTTTTCATGGCTGCGGCGCCACCGGAGGGTGGAGTCGACGATGTCTACGGTGACGGCAACGACGACGCCGCGGATGACGTCGACGATGACGACTTTTTGATCAAAGTGCGCGTGGGGAGCAGCAGCAGTGGCGGTGGTGTGAAGGATACTGCTTGTCCCCCACCACAGGCCCTGCAGGAGGCGCAGCAACGAACCTGGGGTGCGGAGCGAAGAAAACGGGCCCGTGAGTTGACCATAACGACCAACACCCGTGCCTTGGTGGTGACAGGGGCGTACCGGACGGTGCTGCGTCTGCTTGGCCGCACCGAGCCGTTTGACAGGCGTGGGGAGCACTACTTGGCATTCTGAGGCAACTCTTTCTTTCTTTCTTTCTCTCGCGGTGGCGGCAAGGATGAGGAGGGGGAGGAGGAGGACCACGCCACGTTCCTTCACTTCAAGTGCGTTAATGTTTTGGTGTTTGTAAATTTATTTATGCAAGGCACCCAGCGACACTCTCTTCCGACCTTCACTTCCTCCCCTCCTCTCTCTGGATTTTCTGTTCTGTTGGTTACCACTCCTGTTCCTGCGGCGGCGAGCAGAGTTTTGTCTGCCAGTGGCGAAGGGAGCTGGGGAGGGAAGCGTGCACGACGTACACTCTCTCTCACACACACACACACCCTCGTTTGCACCCAGGCACACACGCACGCTGGGAGCGAGAGAAAGAAGGAAATTAAAGGAGGGCAATATATTCCTTTAGCTGCCTTTCACACATACACGCGCGCAGGCGCAGGATGCCAACAGCGTCGGAGTTGGACAAACTTCGGCGTGAGCGGGCGGCACGGTACAGGCAGCTCAGTGAGGCGGAAAAGCCTCGTGTGGAGCCGTGCCCGCACTGCCACGAGCTTCCCTACAAGAAGGAGGTTTGCCCGGAGACTGGCATATTTCACCACCGCGAGCGACACACCATTGTGGGGGGTGCCGTTGTGCAGTCCAACATCCTCCGCTCCTCGGAGCTCATGGAGGCCATCGATCGCTCACGTGTGCGGTGGGTGGAGAGCCGGACGCAACTGGTGCGCGCGGATGCCGTGTCGCTGAACCTATTTCAGAGCTTTGTGCGGCAGCTGGACTGGTCGCTGCAGCGCTACGGCATTCTCTACGGCAAGTACGACGCCAACCTCATGACAATTGAGGTGCACGCGGTGTACGAGCCTGAGCAGCACGGGGACGCGTATACGTTTCATTGCCTCCCTGACAAGCGTCTCCGAAACGTGGACCGCATCGCGGAGTTGTTGGGTCTCCGCCGTGTGGGTGCCGTCTGCACACATCCGCCACGTGATGTGGAACAGATTGTGCTCAGTTCCCGCGAGATGCTGCTGTGCGCCAGCGAGCAGTCGCGTTTTGGCGACGAGTGTGTTCTGCTCACAATGAGCCCCAGTCTCACGACGGGCCGCATTGAGTGCCAGGCGTGGCAGACGTCGCCTCAGGCGGTGCACTTCTATCGTCTTGGCGTGTTGCGGGAGAAGTCGGACAACACCGCGGACCTCGAGAGTGCCATGTGCGTGTACAGCAGCATCCCGCTCGAGGTAGCGCAGCAGGACACCGACGAGAAGGGCCACCCGCGTGTTGTGACACGGGCACCCAGCCACGACATCGATACGCGTTGGTTCACTAGCTACGTTGCGGTGCAGCAGTTTGAGTCGCCAGTGGTGCGAAACCTTTTCGTGCGTGTGTCGCGGCCCGGCATGGAGCCACCAACAATGGCCAACCTGCGTAACTACATGGATGACCCAAAACGGCGCAATGCATCGCTGCTAGAAAAACTTGCCGACTTTCACGTGCTTATTTTCCTCGCGGAAACCATTTTCTCCTTGACGGATGACATGCCAGTGATTATTGGTGCCATGACGAAGCGTCGGCCGGAGGCCGATGCGGTACACTACGGGGACCTTTTGAAATCATACATGAATTCTTGAGAGGCGGCAGCAGGAGGAAGAACACCAGCAACGACGAATATGGCGGAAACAGCCGTTTTGCTGCAGCTCCAGCGACGACGTCGACCTTTTCTATGCACACTGGCATGCGTATATGCGTCTCTGCAGAGGGATAGGGATAGGAAGAAAGAAGAGTAGCACGAGGTGTAGCTGTTGTCTCTAGCAATTCGTGAGGAGACGAGAGGAAGGAAGAGGCGAAGGAAGCTAACAGAAACGGCAACAACAACAGTGACGACAGCAGCAGCAGCCATACAGAGGAGGAGGAAGAGGCAACGGCGGCGGTAGCGGGGAGCCATATGGTGTGTGTGTTTGCTTCACACATGACGCCCAAAGTTGCGGTGCAACGTGAATTGGGTGGTGGTTCCCTCGTCCACCGCTGCCTCTCGCGTGCATCCATCGACTACGTTGCTTGTGACACCCGCTCACTCGTTCTTTTTTTTTTCTTGCGTGTGTGTGCCTTCTTCCTTCCACTTTAATGACGCGCCGAGGTTGAGAGAGGGAGGATGGCAAGCAAAAAAAAAAACACCCAGGGCAGAAGGGAGGGAACGAGAGAGCGAGCACCAATTTGGTTTCCATCACTCACTTCGCTGCATCCCCGCCCTCTTCTCATGCTCCCACAGGGAGGGAGAGAGAGAGAGAGAGAGAATGGCATTTCACCCCCTTCCGTTCATAACTCAATGCTGGAGTGAATCCAACGCGCCTCTTTTGCGTCGTCATTCTCTTTCCGGAACAGCAGGAAAGGTTTAGGAGCCATTTCACAGTTTGCACGGCCGCAGCCAACAAACTCAGGAGGGAGGTGGCGAGCGGCGAAAAGAGTAATTTTTTGACCAATAAGGGGATACGTAGGGGAAGAAGGATACCAAAGGCACGGGAGCAGCGGTTGCTATGACGTCCCACACGCTGTACGACTCACCAGCATTGGGTGTCCGGTGGGACGAGGGAATTATGCACGTGAAACCCCGCATGACGGTGAAGTTGCTTACGCAGGACCCTGCGATGCATCAGCTGGCGTGTAAAACGGCGAAGGAAAAAGCATGGGCTGCTGCGGAGGCGATGCTGGATGCCGTGCTTGTGCGGGCTGCCGCTCACTCTGAGGCGGTCATCTCCTCCACCCTACCTTTTGAGCACCCCACGCCATTGCCATCGTTTCTGTTGCCGTCCTCACTGCCGTCGTCGTCGACGACGTTGTCGGTGTCGTCGTTGCGTTCACGCATTCCCCCGATGAATGTTGCTAATCGTGGCTACTCTGCCGATGCCGCTTGCAGAAGTGTGCAAACCCTCGTCGAGCTGGATGCTGGTGCCGCCGTCTATGAAAAGCTTAAGCACTCCCTCGAGGCCTACGTGATGCACGTTTTGCATCTCCTCACTACCGCCTGCGGCGCTGATCTTGCGGGGAGTTTAACGTTTATGCGTCTGGCGCATGTGTGGTTTCATTACCGCTTGGCAGTGGCGGAGCTGCAGGAGGTGTGGGTGTACCTGGATCGCTGGTATCTCGCCAAGGTGCACGCAGTGCGGTCGATCGATGGACTTGCCGTTGCGATCATGAAGGAGGCGCTGCTGCAGCACCCGTGGCTTTTGTCGCAGGCACAACTGGGGTTTCTAGCTGCCCTGCGTCAGGAGCTTGAACATGACAGCAACGCTCGCGGGGGGATGCAGCTCTTCACGAATCTCTGCTCCTCTATTGAGGTGTACTTCCTGCGCGTGGAGCCGGATGTGCTGGCCGCCGCGAAGGAATTCTACAATGCAGTGGCGGAGCGGATGTGGCACAACGGCGACAGTGCGGAGGTCTTCTTTCACCAGGTGCGATGTTTTCTTCAGGAGGGGCGCCAGCGCGTGCAGGCCTGCCTGGAGGTCCACACAATGCCGAGGCTGGAGGAGATCGCCCAGACATCGCTGCTGCTTGCACATGGCGTGGACGTCCTCACCCGCGACTTTGAGCGGCTTGTGAGGGAGGAGAAGTACGACTGCATTCGCCTCGCCTGGAAGTTTCTAGCCTCCGGAATGTATGTGCAACTTGGAAAGAGGTGTGGCGCGATATTCCGCCACTACATCCTGCAGGAGGGCGCGAAGATCATGCGACAGCTTACCACGCGCACTGCGGAGCAGGAGGCGTTTGCTGCTGTCAAGGCGATGATTGCGCTCATCCGTCGAGGGGAGCGTGTGATTGAGACGTGTTTTGCGGAAAACCCCACCCTCTTTATGGTACGTATGAACGACGCCCTGACAGAGGTGGTGCAGGAGAAGCAGACTGAGTTTGCACGGCAGATTGCCCGCTACCTGGACTGGATGATGCGTGAGGGCGAGAGCGACGTCCTGCTCGCAGCCGCTGGCAGCACTGCTAGTAGTGGTGCCCCTGGTGATGACAGCTCGCCCCGCACGGATGTGGTGACGACGACGATAACAACAACAACGACTGGCGACGCTTCCACCGGAGTACCTCCTTGTGGGGAGGTGTTGGCGTACATTGGACGCATTTACGCCCTCTTCCCTTCGAGGGACATTTTTGAGGCATTCTACTGGCGTGACCTTGCGCGCCGTCTGCTGCAGTACCATCACCCCCCGCGCCTCAGCATTGAGCGGAGTTTCATGCAAGAGTTGAAGAAGACCTGCGGGGAGGAGACGTCCAAGTTTGAGGGAATGCTCAACGACTTCAACGTGTCGCAGGAGTTGAGTGAACGCTACCAGGCATGGGTGGAGGGCAACTGTGGAGCCCCCCCCTCGCCGTGGTCGCCGGAGCTGCAAGTCGACAACGAGGCGGAGGAGGAAAAGGAGCGGCGAAGGTGGCGGCAGCACCGACAATCGAGTGGGGTGAGGGAGGCAGTGATGATGGCGGAGGAGGTGGAGGCGGAGGAGACGTCGATGCCCACCGCCGCTGCACTCCGCTGTACGGAGGTGCGGCTGCACATCTTGACTTCCGGCTTCTGGCCGACAGAGTCTGCGCTGGAGGTGCTGCTGCCGTCGCCACTGCAGGCCCTCGCCGGCCGCGTGCAGGAGTTTTACAGTCACTGCTTCGCCGATCGCAAACTTGTGTGGCAGCACCAAATGTCTTCGGCAGTGGTAACGTGTTCTACGGGAGCCGTCCGACGGCAGCTGACAGGAACACTTTTGCAGGCAGCTATGCTGCTCACTCTGCAGGAGATGATGCGGACAACGCCGTCGACAGCATTATCGCAAGTGGAAACGGTGACGGTCGGGGCATTGTGCGAGCGGCTCGCCGTTGACCTGTCGCTTCCATCCGTGACAGGGGCCCTTTACGGGCTGTGCCACCCAAAGTTTCCCCTTCTGCTGCGTGAAACTGCCGCAGTGGATACAGCTGCAGCTGCTGCAGCTGCGGCGTCGTCCACGTTGGCTGAGGCTGACAGGCTGCGGTTCAATCCGTGCTTTGCGTTTAGCGCGGCGCGCTGCCGCATTCCATTTTGCAGAAACCCACAGGGCGGCGAGGATGCCGCTGTCGACAGGACCGACACCGACGGTATGCAGGCCGCGACCGACGTGCTGAAGGAGCACGCGTACGTTATCGAGGCCGCTGTGGTGAGTTTCATGAAGGAGCGGCGATGCTTGAGCCACGAGGAGCTCGTCGCGGCGCTCCCAACGCTCGTGCGGTTCCCCGTCACAGTGGCGACGGTTAAGAGCATCATTGAGCGACTCATCAACCGCGGATTTCTGGAGCGCAGCGGCGCCAAGGCGTATGTATACGCGCTGTGAGGAGGGGGCAGGGCAGGGAAGTTAGGGAGTTTCTCTGCAGGGGTCCTGCACGCCCCAAAGCGCCGACTGAACCCAGTGGGGAGGAAGAGGTAAGGTGGGGGTAAGTAGGGAAAGAAGGAAGGGGAGGAAACGGGCGAATGCAAACAAACAAAAAGAAGGAACGAATAGGCGCAGCGGAGGCGACGGTGGGCGAAGTCACAGGGGCGAGTGAACTCCAACAGCTGCAATTTTTTTTTTGTTTGTTTCCTTCTTCCTGAATTTATTATTCTTCGCTAATCCCGTGTCTTTTTTTTTTTTACCTCTCTCTCTCTCTGTGTGTGTGTGTGTGTGTGAGCTTCCTCCCTTTTTTGCTGCTGCCGCTTCAGGTTGTTGTTCTTGTCTTTTTTCTCTTCGTGCGTATCACAGGTTGCCAAAAGGGAAGTGGAACAACAACAACAACAACAAAATAGTAGTCTATATAAACAGAGAAAATAAAAGAAACAAAAGTAATCGCACGAGGCAGTTAGGTCCAGGCCTGCGCACGCAACACGAGGCACGTGCGGTAACAACCAAATAAGGGGGTGAAAAAAAAACGACAACACAGTGGGTGAAGGCTAACGGGCTGGTTCAGCGTATCCGAAGACATTCTCCTCCACTCACACAAACATACAGAGAACGTGAACTTGGGGAGGCGTTTGCGTTTGCATCTGTGTCTGCTAGCGAGTGAGTGAGAGCCGGAAAGCGAGAGGAAACATAATACGGTGTGAAGCCCGAAACGGTGTTGGCGCTCCGCGATGTGGTTTGAGAACATTACGAAGGATTTTGGGGACTTCACCAACAGTATCATGGAGGACACAAGGGGCCTGGCCAACATGGTGTCGCGGCTTGCGGCGGAGATGACGGGACACGGTGTCTGCATCGCCGGTGACGAGGACTCCTTTTTTGCGCAGAAGTGCCCACTGGACGAGAGTGCCATTCTTGCGCTGCAGGGCAACGACGCGGTTTACCTCGAGGAGCCGCGCGGATTGGAGGAAAAGGCGTTGTTTGAGGAGTGGGCCCGCCGCAGCGCGTACAGTTCAGCCAATGCACCTTGTTCGGGCCATCTCGACCCAACAGGCGGTGGCGGAAGTGACGAGGCCGCTGTGACGTCTCGCCAACGGTTGCTAGACGAGAATCCGCTGGTCGCCGAGAAGTACGCCGCGTTGGTGCAGGCAAAGGAGCCTCCGCGGCAGAAGGGGTTGACAGATGCAAAAACAGCACCGGGTCCGTCGGCAAGGGAGGGGGAGGCGAAGGAGGAAAAGGGCAGAGACGCAAAGGAGAGCGGCACACCGACCAAGCCCCCCGAGGCCCCACTCCCTGGTTCACAGCGCATCACAGAAGATGCGTTTTTTGATCACTACTTTTTCCGCCTGTCGCAGCTGCGTCTTTCCACAGCGGCGGAGCGACAGAAGCGAGAGGCTGCTGCTTCTGCTGCTGCTGCGAAGGAGGAGGAGGAAGCGGCGGCGAGGGCGGCTCGTGAGACGGAACCGCCTCGGGAGGAGCAGGCGAAGAAGAAGAGCCTTGCCGAACGCTTCATGGAGGTGACCGACGAACTGGTCGGGTGGAACGCGGAGGAGCCGGTGGATGCGCAGGGTTCCAGTGCGGGGGAAGTGTCCGGGTCCCGCGGCAACGGCGGCGGCGTTGCCCGCACCGAGGCAGACTGGCGGGAGCAAGAGGATAGACTCACCGCGCTGGAGTCGCTCGTGAACATTTTACAAAAGGAACTTAATGAGGAGCGCCGCAAACTGGCAGCCGTGCTGAGCGTGGTCGAGCAGTGCGGCCTGAGCGAGGACCAGCGGCACCAACTGCAGGCTGCCATGGCGATGGTGGCAAGTCGGGCTGTGGAGGCAACGCCACCACCGGCCGTATCACTCTCATCTTCACTGCCGCTGAAGCCGGTAGAAACCGCGTCGAAGGACGATGACTGTACGTCTCGCGGCGACGGTGCCGGTGTTGGCAGGAGCGAGGGTGACGGCGCCACGCAGGATCCGTCATTGCCTGTAGCGGTGCCACGCACTGGGGAGTCGCGGATGGACCCGGCGCCTGCGCCTAGCACCTCTTCCTCCGTTGACAATGACAGCTGGACAAATGTGTAGGTTCTACCGGTGGTGCTTGTTAGTGGCGGTGCGTTTGACACCCTCACAGGTATATGCGTATGCACCTGTGTTTATCTGTGCATTTATACATTTTATAGGGCTTACTGCATCTACGTGCGTGTTTTTTTTTTGTTGTTGTTATTGATTTTGCGCTTCCCCCTACAGATATATATATATATATATATATAAGCGAGGAACCGGAGCAAGAATAGTAAGAGCGGTGATAAGAGATAAAAATAAAAAAAAACGAAAAAGAAAAAAGAAAGAAATAAAGAAAAACAAAAGGCAAGCAGTACAATAGTCAGGAATAAAAGACAAAAACAAGCATACAAAAATAAGAACAACAAAAACACAAAATATTCATATTGCATCGTATCGGGGTGCATGCTGACAATGTGAGTCTTTCATCAGATACAACCCTCCCTTTTCCACCTTTTAAATATTCCTCTCCACATTTCCCACACTTACTGACTGAGCTATGCGGCTCCAAACGAAAAGTGCTCAGGTGCTGGCGGTGTGGCTGGGACGCCAGGGAGCGACGTGAGAACTTTTTTCTTCGTAGGCATTTGGTTGTTTTGTTTATTTTTCTACTCTAGTCTTGTCTTCCTTTTTTATCTTTTTTTTTTTTTTTTATTGTATGCTTGTTTGTCTTTTAAACGTTCTTCCACGTTGCCTGGCATTTAGTCTTGCAGCCCCTTCTCACACCATTCGTCGTTCAAACGCCCACCGAGCGAGGCTCGCCCTCTTTCTCACTTATTTGCGTGTTTGCTCCCTCTAGTATGTATTCCCAGTGCTACAGTGTTTCTTGGACGAACCGCCTGCTGCCGCCGCTGTAAAAAGTGGCTGCGCCCGTCGTAGCAGCATGTCTTTTGTTCCGTTTTTTTTTGTTTGTTTTTGTTTTGTGCTGTTGTTTTTGGTCTGACGCTTCTTCCCCGGTGCCTCTTTTCTCTTTGTGTGTTTGTTCCTCCGTGCACTGCACCTTGTGTGGTGGTGGGCTCGAGAAGAGAGCTGTAGGGAAGAAGCTACAGCAGCAGCAACAAAAACGAAAAGAGAAAAAAAAGGAGAAAAGTGGCTGGTGGTGGTGGGATGTTGCTATGCAAACAACCGGGAGACACAGGCGTGTTTGCAACAGCAACACAGTTCAATATTAGAATTTACCGTTTCTCGTCGTTGACGTCCCAACTGCTGCAGGAAACAAAGGCAACAGCGGAAGCGACCACGGCGGCAGCTGATGCTCTGCAGACAGAGCTCGACGCCACAGGGAATGAGTGGGAAGGTGGAGCTGCGTTGGGACCACTGAGCGGAGCGTTTGCACGCACCGCCTCCACGTGCCTGAACGCGTCCTTCGCAGCCGTTACGACAAGGAAAGGGTGGGGCAGGCCGATTGACGCGTTGTGTGTTGTTCCGTTATGGCGGTTGCAGGATGCTGAGAATTTTAGCGTGGCTGGCAATGGGGCACAGGGCATTGGACGACTGTACATGTCAAGCCTCCAGCGCAAACTAACTGGTGGGCGAAGTGGCGGGGGAGACTACCATGCCGGTGCGCCACTAAGTCTGTCCTTGAGCTGCGCACAGGGCGATGCGTTACGGTTCTTGTATTCCAGCAGAGGTGTAGGGGCCTGGATCGGCGCAGAGAACGCCTTGTCCGCGCTGTACACCACATCGACGTTGAGTGGGACGCCGTACGACGCCACGTATCTTAACAACGGAGCGGATATTGTGGCCTCCGGATGGGACCCAGTCAACGCCGCCGCGCTCGCGATTGGGATGCGCAATGGTGTCGTGCAGCTGCTAGACATTGAGAGCAGTAACGGGGTGAAGCCTTCCACGTTGCATTCCTTGAGTGCGGCGGCAGCGGAGGTTTCAAACAGGAGTAGTGATATTCAAACTCAACTCGGTACATTCCCGGTGTACACTAGCGCCTTAACGCGCAATAATGCGGAGTGGGTTACGGTCTCGGCGATGTCTCTCGGTGTGGTTCGGGAGCGCCAGCTGAACGGTGCTTTGACATCGTTAGATTGGGCGCCGCATAGTCACACGACAGTGGTGGCCGCAGAACGCTCAGATGGCAATGGACATTGCGTGGAGGTGATGGACCTGCGGTCCCCGGATAATGACATTCGCTATCTTGGTATGCCGTTTGAGACTACCAGTTCTCCCGCATCTTCAATAAACGAATCAGGTGCTGGCGCTCGTGTCTCCTCTATTTGCTACGCCGAGTTTGTTGCCTGTGACTACACGGGAACGTATGTGGCAACGGCCGGAAGTCAAAGTCGTCGGGATGTGGTGCAGCTATGGGACCTTCGCATGACCTCTAGGCCCGTCTGTCAGAAGCTGCACTCCCGCGCTGGGTACACGTCATTGAGCTGGTGCATGCTCGAGATTCCCACCGTCGTCGCGACGACGCGGGGCGGTGGGTTGCGGGTGCATGCGTTTGGCGACGTTCGTTCGGACTCAGACGACGACGAGGTACCGTTGTCGGGGAGGGGAAGCAATAGAACCTCTGGGCACTCCTTTTGTGCGCCGTTTTTCTCCTCCTCAAGGCGCACCTTCGAGTCATTTGAGGACCGCTTCCACCTCCAGCCGCGTGTACCGGCCGCGGCGGTGGCGTGGCTGGGGGACTGCCGCTCCCACGCTCGAGGTTTGGAGGGTGCAATGGCTGAAGAAAACAGGGTGGGCAAACAGGGTGGTGACCAGGCTGACGACGGTCGTTCCCAACATGTGGCGGTGGGCGGTTGCACCGACATGCCCTGCCTTATTCTGCTCAATGCAAAGACGGGGGAGCTGTATTTGCAGGCATTTTCATTGGTGGGTTGCAGGACAACGATGCTTGGTGACTTTTCACTGTGCAGCGCAGGGCCTAATGTCTTCATTCTAGACACACGAGTCCCACTCGGACAGCAGCCGGCAGGGAAGCCTGCAGAGCACGAGAGGACAAATTTTAACAACAACATCATGGGCGGCGCGAGCGCCCACAACAACTATGACTGTGACAGCGAGACGGAAAGGGATGGCTCGTCTCTTTACAATTTTGCGGAAAACCAAACATCAAACGGTTCAGGAATGAGCTTTCTTGCCACGGCTGCTGTTGCGGGTACATGGTCGGCGGATGCCACTCGTGTGGATCGTCTTTCGCGCCGTCTGGATCGCCTTCGCGCCGGTTTTTTGCCACAGTCGGACAAAGTCTTTTCGGTACTACTGGAGGAGCAATGTGACCGTGAGGCGTACGTGCTGTTTCGTTACGGCTGGTACATGCAGCGATACCTGCACCCGGGCAGGGCTGCACTGCCGGTGCCGGATTCCGTCCCTGGGCTGCTGGAGCTGCTGGAGCGCGAGCAGAGTGGCCGTGCGAGTGAGGCAGCGGCAATCGAGGTGAGCAATCTCATTTTGTGTGCGATGGGGTGGGTGACCGACCCGCGAGATGAGCAGCTGATGCTCACGCCTCGTGGTGATAATATTGGTGGGTCCGTGGGGACTGCGGCGAAGCCGCCAGGCCGGCAGGAGTTTTCGTCGGAGGTGCTTCTTGCGAGGTTGCAGCCACAGCTGCAGCAACCGCGCGAGAAGAGCACGACGGTGTCTCCAAATTCGTGGTCGCATGTGAGTGGCGATGATGTCATGGATGCAACGTGTTTGGTTTCGTCTACATTTCCACGCGAGCCCGCCGCTTCTCCTTCCGTCTCCTTGGACCCTGTCGACCACGTCGGGGTGGTCTCGATGCAGGAGGCGGTGGAGCGGCGAGTTGCTATTCTGGTGTGCATGTACCGCCTCAAAGAGGCCTCGGCGTTGCTGTTGCACTACAACCACCTCCACCCTCTCTACTCGACCTTTGCACTGGTGCTGCTAGCGGCGGCGAGCCACAACGGAATTCCACCGACGTTGACACTTGACGTCTCTGAATGCAGTTTTTGGATGGGAGTTTGCTTTTTCTTTCTGGGGACCTTTCGTACGCCCATTGCACCCTCGGCCGACCAGGAGCAAAGGGAAAAGGACTGCAGCGCGCGTGGGGGCGGCAGCAACGAGAACGGTGGCATCAGCGACCTGTATCGCTTTCCACTTTCCATGCGTCGTGAGTGTTTTGCCTCGTTGACACGGTGGTTCCCGCAGATTCCGTTGTCGGACCGCATTGCCCTTGCCACTCTCCTGCTGCTGGATCCCGCCCCCACTGCCCCTTCTCACAAGCAATTCCAGGCTCTCAGCGAGATACTGCAGGAGATGCAGCAACAGCAATTTGAAACGAATGGGGCGGGGGGTTGCTCGCTGCTCTTGGCGGCCATCGTTGAGGGACTGGGAGGAAACTGCCCTTCCCTTCAACGGTACGTGGACGAGACGAGTGATGTGCAGACCCCCGTGGTGTATGCTGCGCTTTACGGCCATGGCAAAAGCGCGTCCTGGTGTTTCTGGAACGATGCGTACCGCAGCCAACTCAACGCGGAAGGTCACGCCATTCTGCGGAGTCTCCACGATCTCAGCTGCAAAAAACTGGCACGTCTGCGGGAACAGCGGGATGAGTTGTCAGTAAAACATGGCACTGTTGCTCCCCCGCCGCCGCCCCTCGGCCGGCTGGACGGGTTTTCTCCACTGACCGTTGGAATGATGGGGGTGCCATTCAGCGGGCTTGCGGGCGGCGCCGCAGCGGAGGCGAAGGTGGAGCCGAAGCGAACGGATGAACGGAATGTTGAGCTGCGCTGCAAGTGCGGGCAGATCGTTGCAACGTCACCGATGGAGTTGGCGGTGGGGGCAACAACAATAGGGCGTCGTCAACAGTCCTTGTGTGGCAGTCCGAACTGCCTAACTCCGATGTGCGCCGTCTGCGGGGAGAAAATGTTTGCGCTAGCGAGTGGCTACGACGTCGCGACGTCGTACACCTGGTGCACTGTATGTCTGCATGGGGGGCACTGGTCGCACCTGCGTGACTGGTTTGCCAAGCACAAAACGTGTCCGGCAGAAGACTGCCCCTGCCGTTGCTACTGTCCTTCCTTGCCCCCATGAACAGTTTCTTCTTGCTGTATTTGATATCGACTTGGCGGCTACACCTCTTTTGCCTTTCTCCTCTTTCCCCTCCCCATTGCTTCATGCATGTGTGTCTGTTTTTGCCCATGTTCCTTGTGTGTCTCTATCTCTCTATTTATTTATTTATATATATATGGCGATAGTAGTGTTGCTGCTGCTGGGGCCCGGCATCCTGCCTTTTTTTCTCACATGCGCGCACATGTGCACCCGATACAAACGAACCTTCCTCTTCTGTCTTTTTTCCGCACCATTTTAATGGTGGAGACTGTCTTGCTTCTTTGGTGGTCTGGCGGCTGACTAGCGAAGCAGAGTGGTAGAAAAAGGGAAGGATTAGGGGAACAAATAACTTACTGTGTGTGTAACATATATATATATATATAAGGCAAGCGAGATAGAGCTGGACGAGGCAATGAAGTACTTCTCATGCCAGCCGGATACTCATAACGGGTTTGGTGTGCTCATTGGCCACACACTCACATACTTCACCGTGGAGTGCAGTGATTCAGAGGGGGTAGGTAGTAGCAGTGGTGGTGACTCCCCTGCTGCCTCCGTTAACGACAAGGGTGCGTTGCGTGTGTGTGCGCAGCACAGGGTGACGCTCCCTCATGACTTTGGCGCGGCGCCGCAGTGCTTCAGTATGGCGAATCGCTCCTTGTATGGGTTTGACATGGCGATTGTGGGGGCGAGCACGGGCGTGCTGGCCGTGGTAGTCATGCCTACCTCTGGCGTCGTCTACTTGCCTGGAAGAAGTCCCGCATCGTTGTGTACACGCCCCGCGGCAGCGGCAGCAGCGGCAAGACAGGGCGATCACCGTGCTGTGTCACGTCTACGATCGCAGTCCTCCACAAGTACAATAGGACCTTCCTTCCCCTCGCCGCTCTCGTTGGAGCAATCCGCGGGGTTGGATTACGGCGTAGGGACCATAACATGGATGCGTGACAAACCACTTGTCTTCGTCGGCCTCATGTCTGGCCGAGTTGAGTGGTATCACGTGACCATCGCCGACCCCAAACATCAACCAGAGACTGTCAAGGGGTGTGCAGACACCGCCGCAGAGGCAACGGTGGATGAGTGCTTTCTGAAGGGAAAGAGTCGTGTGGAGCAGCAAAGCAGAGTCGCATTATGTGCAGAGGTGGAGTCTGCTGCTACGCTTGCGGCCGATCCCACTTTGCCGTCGAGCATATGGATGCATAACAATTTTGCGCGGCGAGGCGGTACCCGGAGAACCCACGACAACGGGGATGGAGAGGGTGTGCGAATCCGTCTGCAGCTTTCGTGTGCCTTGCACGAGACGGGCGCCTTCCTAACGAGTGACTGGTTTTTGGCGACTGGATTCGTGGTGGCTGGGGCGGAGCGTGCTATCTACGTGTTCTCCACAGAGCAGCCGGGGGCTCCGCTGTATTCTGTCATGCACGTCGGCTGCAGTTTTCTTGCCTGCCATCCCTTCTTGCCTATCCTAGCTTGTCTTTCCTTCGGACGCTCGACAGGGAAGGGCATGCGACCAGATGCGTGTGTGCTGCACGTCTTTGAGTGGACAGCTGGCGGCACGCTTTCCCTTGCTGCCGAAAAGCGCACGTTCCATAAAGTTCCGCGCCAGGACGTGTACTACAGCTGCTCGTGGAAGTTTAGTGCTGATGAGCAACTGGCGATCTGCAACCTAGAGGAAGGCACTGTGCATGTTCTGCACCTCGCAAAGGTGGAAAAAGTACTCGAGACGCCGCCGCAGGAAGACACGGGCGCCACCGCAACTTTGTCAGCTGCACTGCCACAGCCGGTCTACACGTTCACCCGGGAACGGGAGGGGCAGCTGCCGCTGCATTCACTTGTCAACATTGAGTTCATTTCCGCCGCGATGCATGCCATGCCGGAGATAACACCGTGGATCAATGCCTTGCCGTCGCACACCACGCGTGGGGCATTGTTACGGGAACACATGCTGGCGGAACGCATGCTGCGTTTCCCCGGAACACGAAACAAAGAACATCCCCCGCGTGACGGTAAGGCTGCCGCAAGAAGGACAAGAGCCCAGTGCGGGGCTGGCGGTCGCCATCGTCGTGGGCGGGAAGGTTATAGTGGATGTGGTAGCGCTAGCCATGCGGATGTCTGCTTCCTTGAGGCTGCAGATGAGGAGGCTGGCATCCGGCAGGGCGTGGGTGCTTTTTCCCGCCTTATTGGTGTGAACTACGCCGGCGAAATCACGGCCGTTCCACTGGTTGAAGACGCTAAGTTCACCATTTTAGGTACTGGGCGCTTTGCCGTTGGTGTTTGTGCGTCGGTGTTTTTGGCGGGCGGCAAGTCGGACCCGTCAGACGTGGAGCAGCGCATGAAAAGGCGGCCTGGCGACCGGCTTCGGCGTTCCTGCCTCTGCCAACGTGCAGGCGCTGCGTGCGTGCAACGACCCGTCGGACGTGGACCTACGTGTCTTGTGTGAATACATCACTGTGATGGAGACGGTGGGCGCGGTGGGCAGCAGCGGCCCGGTTCCCAGCATCGCTGAACTGCTCTCGCTGGCCAACGCCCCGAACACGACAAAGTTGATGGCGCTGAATTTGCTACCGCGCGGCATCACCGTTGTGTGTGGCTCCTCCACCTCACCAAACGACGCGCGACGGCTGCTGCTACTACACCTGCTCGACTGGATCCCGCCGGAGGATCCCGCCTCCCCCGGTGAGGGAAGCACGACGTTTGTGTACACGACGTGTGAGCAGGTGGAGCGTGCGGTGGCTGTAGAGGTGCTCCACAACCAGCGGTCGCGTGCCGTCACGCTTTTGCGGCGGCACCAGCAGCTCAACCCGGCGTACGCAACGATCGCACGACTTCTGGAGCACCCAGATGTTATTTCCAGCACGCTCCGCGGCGGTGCGAGGGAGGTGCGGGAGTGCTTCCTGAAGCAGCTGAGCCCGTGGATGCAGGTTGTATTTTTGTACGACATGGACCGAGCAAACATCTACACAAACGTCGGACTGCCACTTTGGGATCGTATTGCCATTGCTGTTATCGCCGAGAGCGACACGGCACGGCTTGTTTCCATCCTCAGTGGTGCATTTGCACCGGAGTGTAGCATGCTGCAGCAGCTATTGCTGCTAGAAGGGATTTCCGAGAGGACCTGCCCACTGATGCAGAGGATCGTCGACTGCACCGGGGACTTCCAGTTGGCTGCATGCCTCTTTGCACGTATTGGCACACGTTCTGCGGCGCCAGTGCCTGCCGCAACCAACACATCACTGCCTTTGGATGTCATGCTGAGGCGCCGCTTGGGTGCGACCGGGACGATTGGCGCCATACAAGCGGGCAATGCCGCCTACCAATGGGAGTTGTGGGCGGCCGCCTACCGCGCCTTTCTCAACGACGAGGGGGAGTTTGTCAAGCGCAACATGTTTGACTTGGCTTGTCGTAAGTTGCACGAGCTGTACCTTTCGCATCTATCAATGCCAACTACCCAGCAAGAGCAGCGGCAAGAACCAATGGGGCAGCCACAGGCGCCGTTCCACTCGCGACCTTCTTTCCAACCGTCTCTCTCTGGCTCGTTACCTGCCGCAGATGCTAGTGCTGCCACACCAGAGCAGCATCTTATTTCATACCCTTTACTTTCTTCTGATCACCGTCACTGTTCTGTGTGCTCCTCGCTCGTCTCCTTGCGGTGGCAGTGTGCCCTAGACAGTCTAGCATGGTGCACTGCATGTCGGCACGGTGGTCACGCAAATCACCTGCAGGAGTGGTTTTTGACTCACCACAAGTGCCCGGTGTACGGATGCAGCTGCCGTTGTGAACAAGTCGGAATCGAACCATGCGGAGACGACGGGCGACCTGTCCCTTCGTAGCCACTGCCGAGTTGGGCATAGTTGCCTATAGGTATGTAATGTATATATATATATATATATATATATTATATACATATGCATGTGTGTGCCTCTTTGTTTGCGTGTGCGTGTGGGTGTTTCTTCGGGCTGCGCACAACAATCGCTGCCACGGCCGCCTTGTGTGCAGCTGCCGTTTCTCGTGGGCGGCTGCGAGTGCGTGATCGTGCGATCCACGCGTTCGTCGGTGCGGCCTCCATTTTGGACTTTTGCTATGATTTGCGCCGTTCACGCTTGGGGGCGCTGTGGCCGGGCACTTGTGCCTTGTTCTCTTTTCGTTTGACTTTTTCTACCTCGTGGAGGACGCAGGCACTTGCGGCGTGAGTCTCCTGCGAGGCGTGTGGGAGTGCTGTTCTTTGGGCCGTTGCCTTTTATTTTGCCCTGTTTCCTTCGCCTTGCTTCTTTCGTCCACATATTATATATATATATATATATATATGAAAGGAAGAGACTAAACACTACTCGCTATTGTGTGCTTTGAGGGTTCTGCAGTCACCACCAGCAACATACATACACACACAACCGTTG